CCGAAACTGCGTCCAAATTCGCTAACCAAAAAGGAGAGTTTGAACAAACAATGACCAGATTTTCATATCAAGGAACAAAGCAATTAAAATCAGAAGAACAGACTATGTTAGTTTGATGAGATGTTGAGGGGGATTTATATTTCAGTAGATAGTAATCTGCTATGGTGTGCCACAAACTCCAGGGGCCGGATTCAGGAAGGTACTTACGAAGGTTTTCCCTCTTATCTAACAAGGTGTTCCCTCTTAGCGCCTTCGTGGCGGCTACGTCGTATTCAAGTAGCTACACTAAGTGGAAAAACCTTCGTAAGTTCATTCCGGGATTTAAGTGTGGTTTCGACCACTCGTAGCTTTACGTAAACTGTCTATAAGTCATTTTTTCTCTACTACATAATACTGAGATCGATTTATGATATTGGAACATGACCAAAATATTATAGCTTGTGAATCTAGTAAAGAGGAGTCCTTCGTGTTAGTTATATATGCATTCTCTGCTTGAAACTTGAAGTAAATATGTGTTTGATGATAGTAGAATTAGTTTTATAATAGCAAGATATTATACCAGTAGTTATTAAGTAAATAAACACTGGTGAACATGAAATATGAGAGAAGGTGATGAGCCCTGCCTGATGGGATCATTTACTTTCACCAAATGCCCCTGTTCACCTAGTAGTAAGGGTGTACCTTAGCTATACATACCCATTTCTAATTTATTTAGTTTGGTTTTATTTTGAAATTAAATCTGGGTGAGACAAAATAAAAATATGCTGCACAAATGATGTTAGGTAAGGAGAAGGGTAAAAATGTCACAAACTTTATTCATTGAATACTTAAAGCTATAATTATGACTATATAGACTATTAAAAAGGAGAGAGGGAAGTAGGGGTCCAAGACCTCTTCCTGTTATACAATTTGGGTGTGGAACAAGTAATTATCAAAAGAAGGCACCAGGCCGGGAAGGCTATGTAGCAGTAAGGCAGTGAGGTGAGGCAGCTACTTATTTGAGGAATGCTTATTTTATTTACCTTATAAGCTGAGGCAACTTATTTTATTTGAGGAATACTCAGCTGATTCCTCTACATTTAGCATGGAACAAATTTGTGTCCAAGACCTCTTCCTGTTACTCAATTTGGCTGTGTGTAACCAAACTAGAAGTGCTCTACAAATCAAGGGACCCAGAATGTGGAATGACCTCCCGAATCATGTCAAAGGCTGTACCTCTCTCAACCAGTTTGAGAGTTAAACCAAGTACTGCCTAATTAACTCCATGTAACCTAACTTACCTCTTAAATGTCAACCCATGTCTTGCTATTTTTTAAAAAACGCTGTTCACCAACATGTGCAATTGCTGAGTTATGCTATGCTAACCCCCCTTTTTGTATTTTTTATTCCTTCTTTCAACACAATTTATACCTAATCCCGATTACTATTAAGTTTTAGTCTGTGTTTTTTCCCCCACACCTTGCCCGAAATGCTATGAGTATTAGTGGCTTTAGGTATTGTATGTACTAGCTCTGTCTATAAATCCAACATTATGTTTGTAAATCAACTGTATGTACTTTTCCTGAATAAAATGTGTTTATTATTTATTTTTTAATCAGTAAGTATTAAAAGAAGGCACCAAGCTGGGAAGGCTATGTAGCACCATTGTGTGTAACAATAAACCAAATTTTTTTTTAACAAATAATGCACCTGTATGGTAAAACAAATCCTGTGAGCTGTAAAAATATTGATGCAGTTATTTAAATGAAAAATATAATGAAAGAAATATTACTGGTTTATTTTTATCCTATCTTTTTGTACTGTACAGTATATCCAAGGAAGTGAAAAATTGAGACATAATGCACAATTTAATGAATGATTAGCATGGATTAGCAGTTCAAAAGAAATATGACTATTACATATCAACATGAGATCTTAATGATCCATGGTCAACATGATTTAATAAGGATAATACAGGACTGAATTTGTAATAATACAAACTATAATTTAAAATCTTTATTACTGATTTTTTTTATTAAGAAGATTAGGTATACACAGCAATGTGCTGCTACCCTATTCTATATGGAATATTACACAGTGTAGATAAAAACTAGCTATAAGTTTATCTAATACTCCCATCTCACAGGATGGTTAGACATACTGTACATGGAATCAATTTAGAAAATACCAGCCTCAATACAAAAAACAAATCAACTCTGACTAAACAACTTTAAGCAATTTTCACAAGAGGTAAGCACTGAATCATGGAAACATCATATTATAATTACTCTTACCAGTTTCTACAAGACTCCTCTCAAACAATGTATTTTTAAACATGTTTAGGTATACACAGCAATGTGCTGCTTCCCTATTCTGTATAAAGTAGTCTCCGTGGTGTAGTGGTAAGACACTCGCCTGGCGTTCCGCGAGCGCTATGTCATGGGTTCGTATCCTGGCCGGGGAGGATTTACTGGGCGCAATTCCTTAACTGTAGCCTCTGTTTAACGCAACAGTAAAATGCGTACTTGGATGAAAAAACGATTCTTCACGGCAGGGGATCGTATTCCAGGGACCATAGGATTAAGGACTTGCCCGAAACGCTACGCGTACTAGTGGCTGTACAAGAATGTAACAACTCTTGTATATATCTCAAAAAAAAAAAAAAAAAAAAAAAAAAAAAAAAAAAAAAAAAAAAAAAAAAAAAAAAAATAAAGGACCACACAGTGTAGATCAAAAACCAGCTACAAGCTCACCCAACATCCTCACCTCACAGGATGGCCAGTCATACATGGAATTAGGAGAGAACAAAATACTTAATGCTGATCTATTAGCCTCCACTGGCAAAATCTGGGTGCAGCACAAGAATATCTTCCAATATTCCTGAGTGTATGAAGTAATTACAGAGCTCAAAATACCTCATACCATTTGGTATGAAGTCACTGATAATAGGACAATCACAGATATAGTGTTGGAGAGTATGTTCTCTCAAGTAGGACTGAAAACAGAGGTTTTTTTTCCACCAAGAGGGCTATAAACCCATGGAACCGCCTACCCGCTAAAGCCGTAAATGCCAAATTCCAGCTAAAAAATATCACTAAGACAATTGGCGGGCCCTTTAACAAGCCGCCGGCTTTCTATCCTCTTCGAGGTCACTAGATAGTTAGTGGCCCTTGGGTAAATTCAGTAAATATATACAATAATTGTCAGCGCATCTTCCGAGCAACAAGGACAGCTACACAGTATCTCTTAGAATTACGTAGGTAAACAACAAATGTAACATATTTGTTTACTACAATGTCGGTGCTGGCTGTAGAAGTTGAAAAAACATTGTTTTACTTCGAAATATACTAATTTTATAAGAAAATTCGACGTAAATAGGCGGCAGTAGAGCTCCGATAAGCCAGCGCTAAATCTTCAATATGAAGAATGTTGCTGCTCTCTGATTGGCCAAACGAAACACAGTAGTGACCTCTATCGGCACGCAGGTGAACCAACAAATTTCTTCCTAAGTGGACGTTATTGAATCGCACCTAAGCATCTTCTTAGGGCGCACTTAGGAACCTTCGTAGCAAACCCACTTACGAAGAAATACACAGAGCTTCCTGAATCTAGGTCCAGCAGTCTTGTGTTAAAGAAAACTAATATCACACTCCTATATTGAGGACTTATAGAAAACGAGTTGCATCAGTAACTCATATAAATACACACAGAGCGGTGTGACTGAAATTATCATAAACTCAAGAATATTGAAAGATATTCTTGTGCTGTACCCAGAGAGTGCTAATGGAGGCTAATAGAGTAGCAGCACATTTTATGTTCTCTCCTGACTCCATATAGTGAACCATGCTCATAGTGAATCATGCTCATAGTGAACCTCCGTGGTGTAGTGGTAAGAATTAAATTTTGCCCCGAGGGGCGAGTTTATTGGGCAGCGCCACTCATCTTGTGAGTGGACACACCGCCATAGCAGCATGTACGACACTCCCCAATAGGAAGAAAATAGTGGTAAGACACTCGCCTGGCGTTCCGCGAGCGCTATGTCATGGGTTCGTATCCTGGCCGGGGAGGATTTACTGGGCGCAAATCCTTAACCCTAGCCTCTGTTTAACTCAACAGTAAAATGTGTACCTGGATGAAAAAACGATTCTTCGCGGCGGGGATCGTATTCCAGGGACTTGCCCGAAACGCTACGCGAACTAGTGGCTGTACAAGAATGTAACAACTCTTGTATATATCTCAAAAAAAAAAAAAAAAATGAACCTGTGAGGTGTGGATGATGGATGAGCTTGTGGCTGGGTTTGACCTACACTGTAATCTGCCCTACAGAATATGGTAGCAGCATATTGCTAAGTGCACCTAAGCTTGTTAATATGAAACAAAAAATTATCTGTTTATTTAATCTACAATGAACGTTTAATTTAGTTATAGCAGGTAGTTAATTATGACAACTGAGGGACCTGTAATGGATACTTATGGCTTTAGTTTGCCTTCGCCACATCAGAAATATTTTGATAGTGAGCTACGAGGCGAAGAAATTGAGTGAGAGATAAATCAAACAGCCACACATATATCACATTCATTCCACATATATACATATGGTTGAGAGACTTTTGATAGGCCGCCGGCTTACTGTCCTAAACGAGGCTCTTAGTGGCCCTCAGGTAAATTCAGGTAAAATACCTACCTACGTCTATAATGAGTATGTCTAAGAAAGCACCTTAAGACCTGAGGATGGGCTGGTGGTGTGAGTGTGATGGTGATGGTGTGAGTGTGGTGCTGATGGTGATGGTGTGAGTGTGGTGCTGATGGTGATGGTGTGAGTGTGGTGCTGATGGTGATGGTGTGAGTGTGGTGCTGATGGTGATGGTGATGGTGTGAGTGTGGTGCTGATGGTGATGGTGTGAGTGTGGTGCTGATGGTGATGGTGTGAGTGTGATGGTGATGGTGATAGTGTGAGTGTGGTGCTGATGGTGATGGTGATGGTGTGGTGCTGATGGTGATAGTGTTGTGTACCATCACAGGTGTGAGAGTGGCAGAAGGAGTGTCCCCGGGAGTGCTGGAGCCCCTGGCCAGGCCTGCAGCAGCGAGGGTGCCGCCGCTGCCCAAAAAGACAGGAAGTCTGGTCGACCTGGAGCTGAGTGGTGTGGACGACGCAGGTGTGAGTCGTGCGTGTGCTGTGGCCAGCACGCTCCTGCCCCCTGGCGGGTGAGTCCTACACTCTCCCTCTCCCTCTACACTGCTTCAAAAACACTGTGTATATATATATATATATATATATATATATATATATATATATATGCGAACAAGCCTGAATGGTCCCCAGGACAATATGCAACTGAAAACTCACACCCCAGAAGTGACTCGAACCCATACTCCCAGAAGCAACGCAACTGGTATGTACAAGACGCCTTAATCCACTTGACCATCACGACCGGACAAAATGAGGTGATAGCCGAGGCTATTTGAACCACCCCACCGCCGACACTCGGATAGTTATCTTGGGCATAGCATTTTACCAAATCACCTCATTCTTTGGGGCACACGTGAGGAACACAAATGCGAACAAGCCTGAATGGTCCCCAGGACAATATGCAACTGAAAACTCACACCCCAGAAGTGACTCGAACCCATACTCCCAGAAGCAACGCAACTGGTATGTACAAGACGCCTTAATCCACTTGACCATCACGACCGGACAAAATGGGGTGATAGCCGAGGCTATTTGAACCACCCCACCGCCGGCACTCGGATAGTTATCTTGGGCATAGCATTTTACCAAATCACCTCATTCTTTGGGGCACACGTGAGGAACACAAATGCGAACAAGCCTGAATGTTTCAGTTGCATATTGTCCTGGGGACCATTCAGGCTTGTTCGCATTTGTGTTCCTCACGTGTGCCCCAAAGAATGAGGTGATTTGGTAAAATGCTATGCCCAAGATAACTATCCGAGTGCCGGCGGTGGGGTGGTTCAAATAGCCTCGGCTATCACCTCATTTTGTCCGGTCGTGATGGTCAAGTGGATTAAGGCGTCTTGTACATACCAGTTGCGTTGCTTCTGGGAGTATGGGTTCGAGTCACTTCTGGGGTGTGAGTTTTCAGTTGCATATTGTCCTGGGGACCATTCAGGCTTGTTCGCATTTGTGTTCCTCACGTGTGCCCCAAAGAATGAGGTGATTTGGTAAAATGCTATGCCCAAGATAACTATCCGAGTGCCGGCGGTGGGGTGGTTCAAATAGCCTCGGCTATCACCTCATTTTGTCCGGTCGTGATGGTCAAGTGGATTAAGGCGTCTTGTACATACCAGTTGCGTTGCTTCTGGGAGTATGGGTTCGAGTCACTTCTGGGGTGTGAGTTTTCAGTTGCATATTGTCCTGGGGACCATTCAGGCTTGTTCGCATTTGTGTTCCTCACGTGTGCCCCAAAGAATGAGGTGATTTGGTAAAATGCTATGCCCAAGATAACTATCCGAGTGCCGGCGGTGGGGTGGTTCAAATAGCCTCGGCTATCACCTCATTTTGTCCGGTCGTGATGGTCAAGTGGATTAAGGCGTCTTGTACATACCAGTTGCGTTGCTTCTGGGAGTATGGGTTCGAGTCACTTCTGGGGTGTGAGTTTTCAGTTGCATATTGTCCTGGGGACCATTCAGGCTTGTTCGCATTTGTGTTCCTCACGTGTGCCCCAAAGAATGAGGTGATTTGGTAAAATGCTATGCCCAAGATAACTATCCGAGTGCCGGCGGTGGGGTGGTTCAAATAGCCTCGGCTATCACCTCATTTTGTCCGGTCGTGATGGTCAAGTGGATTAAGGCGTCTTGTACATACCAGTTGCGTTGCTTCTGGGAGTATGGGTTCGAGTCACTTCTGGGGTGTGAGTTTTCAGTTGCATATTGTCCTGGGGACCATTCAGGCTTGTTCGCATTTGTGTTCCTCACGTGTGCCCCAAAGAATGAGGTGATTTGGTAAAATGCTATGCCCAAGATAACTATCCGAGTGCCGGCGGTGGGGTGGTTCAAATAGCCTCGGCTATCACCTCATTTTGTCCGGTCGTGATGGTCAAGTGGATTAAGGCGTCTTGTACATACCAGTTGCGTTGCTTCTGGGAGTATGGGTTCGAGTCACTTCTGGGGTGTGAGTTTTCAGTTGCATATTGTCCTGGGGACCATTCAGGCTTGTTCGCATTTGTGTTCCTCACGTGTGCCCCAAAGAATGAGGTGATTTGGTAAAATGCTATGCCCAAGATAACTATCCGAGTGCCGGCGGTGGGGTGGTTCAAATAGCCTCGGCTATCACCTCATTTTGTCCGGTCGTGATGGTCGAGTGGATTAAGGCGTCTTGTACATACCAGTTGCGTTGCTTCTGGGAGTATGGGTTCGAGTCACTTCTGGGGTGTGAGTTTTCAGTTATATATATATATATATATATATATATATATATATATATATATATATATATATATATATATATATATATATATATATATATATATATAAATGTGTCTTATATGTAGTTAACAACTCCCACACAGTCACGCCAACCACCATATTCTCAGCATTTGGCACTCTGTAAAAGAATGCAAAAAGCTTTCCCTAAACAGGAACGATTGTCTCAAAGCGACACACTAAAACAATTCTGGCAGATAATCGCTAATGCTAATATTGTATAACTCTACACCCACAACTGACACACACACACATTATACACCAACACCCACAACTGACACACACACATTATACACCAACACCCACAACTGACACACACACACATTATACACCAACACCCACAACTGACACACACACACACACATTATACACCAACACCCACAACTGACACACACACATTATACACCAACACCCACAACTGACACACACACACATTATACACCAACACCCACAACTGACACACACACACACACATTATACACCAACACCCACAACTGACACACACACACACACACATTATACACCCACACCCACAACTGACACACACACACATTATACACCCACACCCACAACTGACACACACACACATTATACACCCACACCCACAACTGACACACACACACATTATACACCCACACCACACAACACACACACACACACACATTATACACCCACACCCACAACTGACACACACACACACACACACATTATACACCAACACCCACAACTGACACACACACACACACATTATACACCAACACCCACAACTGACACACACACACACACATTATACACCAACACCCACAACTGACACACACACACATTATACACCAACACCCACAACTGACACACACACATTATACACCAACACCCACAACTGACACACACACACATTATACACCAACACCCACAACTGACACACACACACATTATACACCAACACCCACAACTGACACACACACACACACATTATACACCAACACCCACAACTGACACACACACACACACATTATACACCCCACACCCACAACTGACACACACACCACCAACACCCACAACACACACACACATTATACACCAACACCCACAACTGACACACACACACATTATACACCCCACACCCACAACTGACACACACACACATTATACACCAACACCCACAACTGACACACAAGTATATTTCGAATAGTTTAAGTTTCAGCGTTCATAGAATATGTCAGCAAATATACACATAAACTGTACAATTCTGTATGTTATTATAAAAAAGAATAGCACAAATTAACAATAATAATAATAATAATAATGGGTTAAATTCACAATAACAAGGTATCATTAACCTTACACTAACCCACTCATTAGTCTTAAGATGTTTATTTTGTATAAGGCTGCCCTCACAGTCACAATAACCAGGTTGAAACATAGCTATACTAAGACCACATATTAATAATAACAACACTACATACCACTAGGATGGTCTGCACCAACATATTGTAACACTACATACCACTAGGATGGTCTACACCAACATATTAATAATAACAACACTACATACCACTAGGATGGTCTAAACTAACATATTAATGATAACAACACTACATACCACTAGGATGGTCTACACCAACATATTAATGATAACAACACTACATACCACTAGGATGGTCTACACCAACATATTAATGATAACAACACTACATACCACTAGGATGGTCTAAACCAACATATTAATGATAACAACACTACATACCACTAGGATGGTCTACACCAACATATTAATGATAACAACACTACATACCACTAGGATGGTCTACACCAACATATTAATGATAACAACACTACATACCACTAGGATGGTCTAAACCAAAGTGTTGAAGCCAGAAACAAAGCACCTTTAAACCCACTAATAAATCAAAAACAGTTTTGTATTGGTCCAGGATGATCTGAAACACTTCAGATTATAGGGAAATTAATTAGGTCTGAACCCACCCATATGTCTTAACAATTTCATATTGATCCTTGATGGCCCGAAACTTAAAGAGCGAGGTTGAACAAATGAACACTAATCCCACTTATGAGTTGGATGAGGTTCATTTGTTTAACCTTCATCAACACTAACAGTTCACGTTCACTACACTGAGCTTGCAACACATTAACACAACATAAACTTATTAGTTATAACAACTCTAAATTGGGGAAGGGGTGTGTGGGAAGGGACGGAGGAGGCAGGTGCTCTGCATAGTGAGGACACGACACAGGTCACAATCAGTGTGTCGTCATCAACAGGTACAGGTCACAATCAATGTGTCGTCATCAACAGGTACAGGTCACAATCAATGTGTCGTCATCAACAGGTACAGGTCACAATCAGTGTGTCGTCATCAACAGGTACAGGTCACAATCAGTGTGTCGTCATCAACAGGTACAGGTCACAATCAGTGTGTCGTCATCAACAGGTACAGGTCACAATAAGTGTGTCGTCATCAACAGGTACAGGTCACAATCAGTGTGTCGTCATCAACAGGTACAGGTGAGAATAAGTGTGTCGTCATCATCAGGTACAGGTGACAATCAATGTGTCGTCATCAACAGGTACAGGTCACAATCAGTGTGTCGTCATCAACAGGTACAGGTCACAATCAGTGTGTCGTCATCAACAGGTACAGGTCACAATCAGTGTGTCGTCATCAACAGGTACAGGTCACAATCAGTGTGTCGTCATCAACAGGTACAGGTCACAATCAGTGTGTCGTCATCAACAGGTACAGGTCACAATCAGTGTGTCGTCATCAACAGGTACAGGTCACAATCAGTGTGTCGTCATCAACAGGTACAGGTCACAATCAGTGTGTCGTCATCAACAGGTACAGGTCACAATCAGTGTGTCGTCATCAACAGGTACAGGTCACAATCAGTGTGTCGTCATCAACAGGTACAGGTCACAATCAGTGTGTCGTCATCAACAGGTACAGGTCACAATCAGTGTGTCGTCATCAACAGGTACAGGTCACAATCAGTGTGTCGTCATCAACAGGTACAGGTCACAATCAGTGTGTCGTCATCAACAGGTACAGGTCACAATCAGTGTGTCGTCATCAACAGGTACAGGTCACAATCAGTGTGTCGTCATCAACACGTACAGGTCACAATCAGTGTGTCGTCATCAACAGGTACAGGTCACAATCAGTGTGTCGTCATCAACAGGTACAGGTCACAATCAGTGTGTCGTCATCAACAGGTACAGGTGAGAATAAGTGTGTCGTCATCAACAGGTACAGGTGAGAATAAGTGTGTCGTCATCTTCAGGTACAGGTGACAATCAATGTGTCGTCATCAACAGGTACAGGTGACAATCAATGTGTCGTCATCAACAGGTACAGGTGACAATCAGTGTGTCGTCATCATCAGGTACAGGTGACAATCAATGTGTCGTCATCAACAGGTACAGGTGACAATCAATGTGTCGTCATCAACAGGTACAGGTGACAATCAATGTGTCGTCATCAACAGGTACAGGTCACAATCAGTGTGTCGTCATCATCAGGTACAGGTGACAATCAATGTGTCGTCATCAACAGGTACAGGTGACAATCAATGTGTCGTCATCAACAGGTACAGGTGACAATCAATGTGTCGTCATCAACAGGTACAGGTGACAATCAATGTGTCGTCATCAACAGGTACAGGTGACAATCAATGTGTCGTCATCAACAGGTACAGGTGACAATCAATGTGTCGTCATCAACAGGTACAGGTGACAATCAATGTGTCGTCATCAACAGGTACAATGGTGACAGGTACATCAATGTGTCATCATCAACAGGTACAGGTGACAATCAATGTTTCGTCATCAACAGGTACAGGTGACAATCAATGTGTCGTCATCAACAGGTACAGGTGACAATCAATGTGTCGTCATCAACAGGTACAGGACCATTAAGTTCCCCGACGCGACACTGACAGCGGCCGGCTGCCGGAGCCTGATACAGGGACTCGTCAAGTGCAAGGGGAAGGTCGGGTGGATAAGAGTCCCTAAAGCCCTGGACCTTCAACCCTTCCAGGTGTGTGAGCTGGAGGACCTCGCTCACACCTGTCTCAACTGTGGCTTTATACCGTGAGTCTCTCAGTCACTTATGTCTCCAACACTGCTGCTGCCACCATTACCACCACCCACACTGCTGCCACCATTACCACCACCCACACTGCTGCTGCCACCATTACCCCCACCAACACTGCTGCCACCATTACCACCACCCACACTGCTGCTGCCACCATTACCACCACCCACACTGCTGCTGCCACCATTACCACCACCCACACTGCTGCTGCCACCATTACCACCACCCACACTGCTGCTGCCACCATTACCACCACCCACACTGCTGCTGCCACCATTACCACCACCCACACTGCTGCTGCCACCATTACCACCACCCACCACTGCTGCTGCCACCATTACCACCACCCACTGCTGCTGCCACCATTACCACCACCAACCACACTGCTGCTGCCACCATTACCACCACCCACACTGCTGCCACCATTACCACCACCCACACTGCTGCTGCCACCATTACCACCACCCACACTGCTGCTGCCACCATTACCACCACCCACACTGCTGCTGCCACCATTACCACCACCCACACTGCTGCCACCATTACCACCACCCACACTGCTGCTGCCACCATTACCACCACCCACACTGCTGCCACCATTACCACCACCCACACTGCTGCTGCCACCATTACCACCACCCACACTGCTGCTGCCACCATTACCACCACCCACACTGCTGCTGCCACCATTACCACCACCCACACTGCTGCCACCATTACCACCACCCACACTGCTGCTGCCACCATTACCACCACCCACACTGCTGCTGCCACCATTACCACCACCCACACTGCTGCTGCCACCATTACCACCACCCACACTGCTGCTGCCACCATTACCACCACCCACACTGCTGCTGCCACCATTACCACCACCCACACTGCTGCCACCATTACCACCACCCACACTGCTGCTGCCACCATTACCACCACCCACACTGCTGCTGCCACCATTACCACCACCCACACTGCTGCTGCCACCATTACCACCACCCACACTGCTGCTGCCACCATTACCACCACCCACACTGCTGCTGCCACCATTACCACCACCCACACTGCTGCTGCCACAATTACCACCACCCCACTTGCTGCTGCCACCATTACCACCACCCACACTGCTGCTGCCACCATTACCACCACCCACACTGCTGCCACCATTACCACCACCCACACTGCTGCTGCCACCATTACCACCACCCACACTGCTGCTGCCACCATTACCACCACCCACACTGCTGCTGCCACCATTACCACCACCCACACTGCTGCTGCCACCATTACCACCACCCACACTGCTGCTGCCACCATTACCACCACCCACACTGCTGCTGCCACCATTACCACCACCCACACTGCTGCTGCCACCATTACCACCACCCACACTGCTGCCACCATTACCACCACCCACACTGCTGCTGCCACCATTACCACCACCCACACTGCTGCTGCCACCATTACCACCACCCACACTGCTGCTGCCACCATTACCACCACCCACACTGCTGCTGCCACCATTACCACCACCCACACTGCTGCTGCCACCATTACCACCACCCACACTGCTGCTGCCACCATTACCACCACCCACACTGCTGCTGCCACCATTACCACCACCCACACTGCTGCCACCATTACCACCACCCACACTGCTGCTGCCACCATTACCACCACCCACACTGCTGCTGCCACCATTACCACCACCCACACTGCTGCCACCATTACCACCACCCACACTGCTGCTGCCACCATTACCACCACCCACACTGCTGCTGCCACCATTACCACCACCCACACTGCTGCTGCCACCATTACCACCACCCACACTGCTGCTGCCACCATTACCACCACCCACACTGCTGCTGCCACCATTACCACCACCCACACTGCTGCTGCCACCATTACCACCACCCACACTGCTGCCACCATTACCACCACCCACACTGCTGCTGCCACCATTACCACCACCCACACACTGCTGCCACCATTACCACCACCCACACTGCTGCTGCCACCATTACCACCACCCACACTGCTGCTGCCACCATTACCACCACCCACACTGCTGCTGCCACCATTACCACCACCCACACTGCTGCTGCCACCATTACCACCACCCACACTGCTGCTGCCACCATTACCACCACCCACACTGCTGCCACCATTACCACCACCCACACTGCTGCTGCCACCATTACCACCACCCACACTGCTGCTGCCACCATTACCACCACCCACACTGCTGCTGCCACCATTGCCACCATTACCACCACCCACACTGCTGCCACCATTACCACCACCCACACTGCTGCTGCCACCATTACCACCACCCACACTGCTGCTGCCCCCATTACCAACACCCACACTGCTGCCACCATTACCACCACCCACACTGCTGCTGCCACCATTACCACCACCCACACTGCTGCTGCCACCATTACCACCACCCACACTGCTGCTGCCACCATTACCACCACCCACACTGCTGCTGCCCCCATTACCAACACCCACACTGCTGCCACCATTACCACCACCAACACTGCTGCTGCCACCATTACCACCACCCACACTGCTGCTGCCCCCATTACCACCACCCACACTGCTGCCACCATTACCACCACCCACACTGCTGCTGCCCCCATTACCAACACCCACACTGCTGCCACCATTACCACCACCCACACTGCTGCTGCCACCATTACCACCACCCACACTGCTGCTGCCACCATTACCACCACCCACACTGCTGCTGCCACCATTACCACCACCCACACTGCTGCTGCCACCATTACCACCACCCACACTGCTGCTGCCACCATTACCACCACCCACACTGCTGCTGCCACCATTACCAACACCCACACTGCTGCCACCATTACCACCACCCACACTGCTGCTGCCACCATTACCACCACCCACACTGCTGCTGCCCCCATTACCAACACCCACACTGCTGCCACCATTACCACCACCCACACTGCTGCTGCCACCATTACCACCACCCACACTGCTGCTGCCACCATTACCACCACCAACACTGCTGCCACCATTACCACCACCCACACTGCTGCTGCCCCCATTACCACCACCCACACTGCTGCCACCATTACCACCACCCACACTGCTGCTGCCACCATTACCACCACCCACACTGCTGCCACCATTACCACCACCCACACTGCTGCTGCCACCATTACCACCACCCACACTGCTGCTGCCACCATTACCACCACCCACACTGCTGCTGCCACCATTACCACCACCCACACTGCTGCTGCCACCATTACCACCATTACCACCACACTGCTGCTGCCACCATTACCACCACCCACACTGCTGCTGCCACCATTACCACCACCCACACTGCTGCTGCCCCCATTACCACCACCCACACTGCTGCTGCCACCATTACCACCACCCACACTGCTGCTGCCCCCATTACGACCACCCACACTGCTGCTGCCACCATTACCACCACCCACACTGCTGCCACCATTACCACCACCCACACTGCTGCTGCCACCATTACCACCACCCACACTGCTGCTGCCCCACTACCACCACCCACACTGCTGCTGCCACCATTACCACCACCCACACTGCTGCCACCATTACCACCACCCACACTGCTGCTGCCACCATTACCACCACCCACACTGCTGCTGCCACCATTACCACCACCCACACTGCTGCTGCCACCATTACCACCACCCACACTGCTGCTGCCACCATTACCACCACCCACACTGCTGCCACCATTACCACCACCCACACTGCTGCTGCCACCATTACCACCACCCACACTGCTGCTGCCACCATTACCACCACCCACACTGCTGCTGCCACCATTACCACCACCCACACTGCTGCTGCCACCATTACCACCACCCACACTGCTGCCACCATTACCACCACCCACACTGCTGCTGCCACCATTACCACCACCCACACTGCTGCTGCCACCATTACCACCACCCACACTGCTGCTGCCACCATTACCACCACCCACACTGCTGCTGCCACCATTACCACCACCCCCCGCTGCTGCCACCATTACCACCACCCACACTGCTGCTGCCACCATTACCACCACCCACACTGCTGCTGCCACCATTACCACCACCCACACTGCTGCCACCATTACCACCACCCACACTGCTGCTGCCCCCATTACCAACACCCACACTGCTGCCACCATTACCACCACCCACACTGCTGCCACCATTACCACCACCCACACTGCTGCTGCCACCATTACCACCACCCACACTGCTGCTGCCACCATTACCACCACCCACACTGCTGCTGCCACCATTACCACCACCCACACTGCTGCTGCCACCATTACCACCACCCACACTGCTGCTGCCACCATTACCACCACCCACACTGCTGCTGCCACCATTACCACCACCCACACTGCTGCTGCCACCATTACCACCACCCACACTGCTGCTGCCACCATTACCACCACCCACACTGCTGCCACCATTACCACCACCCACACTGCTGCTGCCACCATTACCACCACCCACACTGCTGCCACCATTACCACCACCCACACTGCTGCTGCCACCATTACCACCACCCACACTGCTGCTGCCACCATTACCACCACCCACACTGCTGCTGCCACCATTACCACCACCCACACTGCTGCTGCCACCATTACCACCACCCACACTGCTGCCACCATTACCACCACCCACACTGCTGCTGCCACCATTACCACCACCCACACTGCTGCCACCATTACCACCACCCACACTGCTGCTGCCACCATTACCACCACCCACACTGCTGCTGCCACCATTACCACCACCCACACTGCTGCTGCCACCATTACCACCACCCCACTGCTGCCACCATTACCACCACCCACACTGCTGCTGCCACCATTACCACCACCCACACTGCTGCTGCCACCATTACCACCACCCACACTGCTGCTGCCACCATTACCACCACCCACACTGCTGCTGCCACCATTACCACC